TCCCTCTATATATATATATATATGACTTCAAGTCTAAACTCCTTAAAGGGAGGAATATATAGGGAATTATGTAGGGGAGTATTATAGGGGTTATTAAGGGGGTACTAGGAGTTTAGGCTATAGCTCATATATATACACATAGGGTTTAGGGTTTAGGGTCCAGGGCTAGGGGTTTAGGGTCTAAGCTTCTTAGGTTCTATAGGGGGTTATTTCAGGCAGTATTATAGAGCTTATTAGGGGGGATGCTACGGGTTGAATTATGGTTATATACATGTGTGTATATATATATATCTATACATATGTATATATATATATATCTGTCCATCCATATGTACCCCTACATACCTATACACCTCTTCATACCCATACATCCCTATATCATACAGTTGATCAATATTCCTGTCCCCAGATGGTGGGTATGGAACATTAGTTCCTAACATTTTCCGTTTTTCCCCAGCGGACGTTGAGATCAACTTGCATCTACCTCCAGAAGCCTGACCCCTTTATTAAGGGCTTAGGTTTTAGGGTTTGGGGCTCTTTGAAGCACTATACAGGCACCGTTTCCATTTCATTGTCAGTATCATTTTCAATTTTCTTTTCCACCTGTTTCTCCGTTATTGGGATACTAGCCGTGTACCCTATGTAACCCTTGTATTCCTATCCTAAACCCTAAACCCCAAAGCCCAAACCCTAAACCCCAAACCTCAAACCCTGAACCCCCAACCCTAAACCCCAAACCCTGAACCCCCAACCCCAAACCCCAAACCCTAAACCCCAAACCCCAAACCCTGAACCCTGAGCCCCCAAGCCCAAACCCTAATCCCTTAGCCCCATATCCCAGTAAAATCCCTTAAAAGGGACTCAGACCAAGGCAAGCGGCGTTGGATCCCAACGTTGGCCAGTCGGACGCCGCGGCCATGAAGAAGGCACCCGAATTGGGGGCTGGGGTTGTAGCGGATGCAGGGGTTTAGGGTTGAGGGGTATGGTTTAGGGTTTAGGGTTGAGGGTTTAGGGTCCAGGGTTGTCGGGGTTATTTAGGGGTTTTATAGGGTTTAGGGTGTAGGCTCTGGTGTTTTGGACTTAGCTGGGATGGCAGGAAGGGTATTAGGACCCCTGTTCGGGCTTGTTGCATGTAACGCCTAAATTATTTCTGATATTATCTTCCTGGGCCTCGTGCAATTATAGTATGGGGCACCTCAAATACTCCTCAATATTATTTAGGCCAAATTCAGGCCCCTACATTCCTTTATATAAGCCAGATTTCAAGCTCAGCTTTTCATTTTGTGTCCACTTTTTTTTTCTCCCCGTTTTGATTCTCCATTAGGGATTTTGAGCCTAGAGCGATGCCTGAGTTAGCGCCATGCTTGGAGGTTCATGGGGGTTAGTAACTATTTATAACTGGGCTTACAACCATACCTGTACTATGATTAGATCCTACAAGGCCAGGTAGAGGGATTACAAGGAGGGTTATAAGCCCAGTCATAAGTAGTGACTAAGTCCTATGAACCTTCAAGTAGTGCATTCTTGATGAGAGCTTGGAATCCTGTACCCTTCGAGCAGAACTGGTCCCTTGTAAAGGGGTTTATAGGGCTTCGAAGAGGAGTGTATAGGGCTTATAGAGGGGTTTCATAGGGTTTATAGAGGGGTGATGATTTATGAGAGTTTCTCAAAGCAATAGCTTTACAATCCTCAAAAGGGATTGCTGCAATCCCTTTATCCTGAGGTCCCTTAAGTGCCACTTTGGAGAGACCACCACGTGATTTCAGCAAACCCTGAGCCCTTAGAGGCTTAGGGTTTAGGGTCTTTGGGGTTCAGGGTCTTTAGGGTTGAGGGTCGAGGGTGTAGGGTTTAGGGTCTCTAGGGTCGTGGGTCTAGGGTTTAGGGTGGGGTAGTGTAGTTCCACACATTGAACCCTTATTCCTGAACCTCAAGCCCTGGACTGAACCCAGATCCCTAAACCCTGAACCCTAAACCCTGAAGCCTAAACCTAGAACCCTAAACCCTGAAGCCTAAACCTAGAACCCTAAACCCTGAACACTAAAACCCGAACCCTCAACCATAAACCCTCAACCCTAAACCCTGAATCCTAAACTTCTAAACACTAGACCGCCCTACCTAAACCCCAAAAGTACGTAGAATAATAGCCGTAAGCCCAGAATAATAGCCCTAAAGGCCATTATTTTACATACTTTTGGGGTCCAGGTAGCCCCAATATACTATAGTAGGTTCCATTTTATTTTCCATTATCCCAATATATCCCCTATATAACCCCTATATATACTGAATCCCCCCCGTGTGAGTCAATCAGGAGATTCATCGCATGGAGCTGCGCCTCGAACAGCTGAAGCGGCGGCAGGACCCCAGCTTTTGCTATAGGATTATATAGGGATTATGTTGGGAGTATATAGGGAGCATATACGATTGTGTAGGGATTATATAGCGATTATGTAAAGGTTCTGTAGGGATCAGATAGGGAGTATATAGGATTATATGGGGTTCTATAAGGGTTATTCAGGGATTAGATAGGGATTTGGGCTTAGGGTTTAGTGTAACCCAGATAGCCCAATATCCCTTAATTGGGGAATGTACCTGAAGTCAGCTGAGTATATTCCCTACCTAAAGGCTATTGGGGTTTCTGGATACTTAATACGCTGGATACTAGCTTCCTTCAAGGGTTCAGGGTTTGCGCGTATGGAGGTCTTATATTACGGCCCTGAACCCCTAAACCCTAAACCCTAAACCCTAAACCTTAGGGAGACTTTAGGGTTTAGGGCCTCGGGCCTAGACCTCAAACCCTCAAGACAACTTCAGTTTGCGAGTGCTTCGGGTCCCAATTCCCATTCTTTCCATCTCCATACTCGTGGAACTTCAAAAGGTTGCAGAGCAAAATGATGCTCCGAAACCCCAAGTTTGTTTCTAAAATCAGTCCTAAACCTGACGCATCCCTAGATTACTTGTAACTCTACTTGTAACTTGGGTGAAGCACCTACTCACTCAAAGTGGTATTACGGTCTAGGGTTTAGGGTTTTAGGGTTTTAGGGTTTTAGGGTTTTAGGGTTTAGGGTTTAGGGCTTGGGTTTAAGGTTTAGGGATATGTACATATATCGGGCCCTAACCTCATTACCATTCTCGCTTGTGGTCACTATGTGTGCATGGGGGCCTACATATCCCTAAGCCCTACGCCCTGGAACCCAAATTCCCAAACCCTAAACATTCAACTCTAGGCCCTAAAGCCCAAAAACAATTCGAAACCTTGACCCTAAACCCTAAACCCTAAACTTTAAAACCCTAAAAAACACCAAACCCTAAGCCACGAAGCTTTTTCACTGCCAGGAGCAGACGATTGTTGAGATGGAGCGAGCCATCCATAAACGCGACGCCATAGCCTTGAAGCTCGAGCCGAAGGAACAGGGCTGCATTAGACTTGCCTCAAGAGTTAGGAGGGTGTAGGGTTCAGGGTTTAGGGTGTAGAGTTTAGGGTCTGGGGTTTAGGCTTTACATGAAGTAGGGCTTGTAATCTGGTTTGGGAGCATATTTAGGGTTCCTTAGGGGTATTGGTGGATGTACATGTTGGGTGGGCAGTTGTGGGGACCATGAAGTAAGATGATGCCATATATGGGCTGTGGCGCGAGTTCATGTAGGCCCTCCTTTTGTAGTTCCATGATGTTCATGCTAGTTTGGGGCAGGGTGATTGCGCGTATGGAAACGGGAAATCCCTTTTCTTAACCCCCGGCGCTGAGCTACAACCATATGTTTTAGGGTTTAGGGCTTAGGGTTGTTGCTTATCATGCTAAGTAAGCAAGGCTTCAGGGAGTGTAGGCGCAAAGGGAGAGGAACTAAGAATTTGTTGTTCAAGCAGTTCAGGGCTAGCAGCGAAGATGATGGCTCCATTGAGAAGTCCAGCAGAAGCTACAGTTGATGCTTCAAATCCTGCATAATCCTAAGTACATATATTTTGGGAGTCAGGGCATTAGATTACATGCAGGCCATGTATATTGGAACCCCCAAAATGGTATTCCTAATTTTGGAAAACCCTAAGCCCTGAATAGTAGCTTTCATTTGCTTCTCCATTACCCCTATATAACCCCTATATAACCCCTATATATCCCCTATACTTACATAATTCTTGGAAGCACCGAAGTATACTTCAGGCGCAGAAGACCAAGAAGGCGGCTTCTGCGGCCAACGTCAAGCGGCAACTGCAGTCCCTGCGGAACAACTTGAAGCTGTGTTGCCCGTCCTTTTTTAGGGTTTAGGGCTTAGGGTTTAGGGGGTCCTACCCAGGAATTAGGATTTAGGGTCTAGGGTCCAGGATTTAGGGTTCAGGGTTTGGGATTTAGTGGTCACGGTCTGGAAATTCCTTACGCCGGAGAATGATATAGAATGATTTTGGCAGCTTCCCTGGAGTTGGACAATCCTCTGAAGGAACAGAAGTAGTAGTTGCCATTTTCTTTTCCGTTATACCCCAAACCCTAAATAGTAGTTTCCATCTTCCTTTCCATTCTCCCCATATAACCCTTGCACATATATACATATAGATATATGTGTGTGTGTAAAATTCAGCACTCAGAGGTCCGTTTGTATGCCTGGGGTAAGGCCCTGCTATCCTTCTGAACTAGTCTGAAGAACATGTGAGCTACTGTCTAAACTCCTCAAAAAAGGGGCTATATGAGGGGTGATGCAGGGGACAACTGTAGGGATTAAGGGGGATACTAGCAGTTTAGACTGTAGCTCATTTGTTGCCCAAACTGGGGCTCCAAACTTCAGGAGTTCTTTTTTTCGGGAGTCCTAATGGGTCTTTATTGGACCGCTGATTTTAGTCGAAACCCTAACCTCTAAACCCTATGCTATAAAATCAAAGAATGACGGCGCAGCTGAGGTACCCAGGCAAACTCCGATGCTGAGCAGAAAATCTCGGAGAGGCTGTGATGGAACTCGAAGTCCTAAACCCGAAACCTCAAGACCAGATGAGCTAGAGTTTAAACTCCTGAAAAGGGGGTGATCTAGGGAATTCTATGGGGGTTATCAAGGGGGATACTAGGAGTTTAGACCCTAAACCCTAAATCCTAAACCCTAAACCTTAAACCCCTGCAATTTATGAAGGGGGATAAAAGCAGTTTAGACTACAGCTCAGATGGGTAACCTCCCATAAGCTGACATGGAATCGCGAAAGGGTGTTAAATTTCTTCGCACGAAGGGTTTAGGGTTTAGGATTTAGGGTTTAGGGTCTTAACATAATCCTTACATAATCCTGAAATTCCGACACAGAAGTACCCATGAATCTCCAAGTAAGCTCCAAACCCCAAAATCGTCCCAGTCTCAAATCGAGAGGGGCTACACAAATCCTAAACCCTAAGGCGGAAGCTCTAACATCTAAACCCTGAGCCCTAAACCCTAAACCCTAAACCCTAAACCCTAAGCCCTAAACCCTAAACCCTAAACCCCAAACCTTAACCTCAAAAACCTGAAGCTCCAAGGTCAATCAAACCCATGAGCCCCCAGGATGGGTCTCTTTTTCCTAGGGTTTAGGGTTTAGGGATCTTTATCTACCAATTATATGCCCTAAAAGTACGCTTAAAGGCCCCTAGAATCCCACTAAAAAAGCCTGAGGTCCCATGTTAGGGGCCCATACTTCTACACCGGTGACCCTTAAGGGCAAATACAGGTCATAAAATAGGTATATACAGATCGGCCCTTCCTTCTCCCTAAACACCAAACCCCCAAACCCTTAGCCCTAAACCCCAAACTCTACAACCCAAACCCTAAACAACAAACCGTAAACCCTAAACCCTCAACCCTAAACCGTTAAACCCTGAACCCTCTACCCTTAGATAAGCCCTGCAGCTTTTGGGCGAGGCAGCGAGATCTGGCTGAGCTTCAGCAAACCATCGAGCAGGCGGCCCAGGAGCAAATGGCACAAAGACATGGTGGCCCCCGAAAAGGATCCCTAACTTTTTGGAAAGCCTATAGTCCCCCCTAAGAAGGATTTAGAGTTAGGGTTTAGGGGTTAGGGTTTAGGGTACAGTCCCCCTTAAGTAGATAGAATACTGGGTATATGGGGATCTTATTATAAGTATAACATACGCGAAGCCACATTCTATCTACTTAAGGGGGTTAGGGTTTAAAGGGGTTTTTAGGTTTGGGAAAGTGTAGGGTGCCCTTCAAAGAGGTTCTCCGGATTGGGTATCTGGCTGGCAGCCTGAAGGGATTAGGGATCGGGGTTCAGGATTTCCACCAAATAGGAGGTCCCTTTCTGGGAGGCTTTATATCTATACTCATAACGGCTGGGTCATGCGATTGGATCCCTGTTATTGGACAGGCCGGCCTGGTAACAACCGAAGCAAGGTCTTCTTGGAACATTACCGGGAAACTAGGAACAGGGACAAGTTCAACACCCGTTTCGACAACAGTACCTGGGCCTTCGAGCCTTTCATGGAGTTGCACTACCCCTGGCACAAGTTGATCTGTGTGATTAAAAGGGTGTTCTACAGAGGCTTAAGAGGGTTTACAGAGTTTAAGGGGGTCCTAAGCTGAATCCCTTGCGTGGTGCACGCGATCTGACCAGCTGTGCTTGAAAGGTAAGCACGGCTTTGGTGAACCGAGTTGCCAGCCGCGACAGCCCTCCATAGCTCTTGAGGGTTTCGAGTCTTTATGTTTAAGGGTTAAGGTTTAGGTTCGGGTTTAGGGTGTAGAACCCTAAACCCCAAACCCTCAACCCCAGGAACCCTGAACCCTAAACCCTCTAAGACACACAGCCCTAAATCCTGAACCCTAAACTCTCAACCCTGAACCCTAAGCCTTAAACCCTAAACCCTAAACCGTAAACCCCAAATCCTCAACCCCAAACCCCAAACCCTAAGCCCTAAACCCTAAACCCTACGCTCTAGACCCTAAACCCTAAACCCTAACAGGAGTACGGCAACCTGGAGCGAGCTGGCGAAGCTCTGCGGGCAGAAGTGCAGGTCTGGGGCCCATTATCTTTCAGGGTTTGGGGTTGGGGATTAGGGATTAGGGTTTAGGGTTTAGGGATTAAGTTTCGGGTTCAGGGAGTAGGGTTAGGGGGGTTAGGGCTGTCATCTACTTTTGTGGGTTTTACAGGAATATACAGGGACATCTAGGGGTTACGTAGGGATTTTGCAGGAATCATTTTGGGTTGGGGGTTTAGGGATATTACCCCGATAATGGAGAATCAAGTGGACAAGCAGATGGAACATTAAATGAGAACTGGGGGGTTTTCATAGGGACAAAAAAGGTTTAGGACGAGTTCTTACTGATTGTTACTACGGAATGCAGGAATGGAAAAGAAAATGCAATTACTGGAGGTCTGGGACGGGCTACTGTAAAGATCCATTCCTCCATTCCATATCCATAGCCCTAAACCCTATGCCATAAACCCTAATAGTGGTTACTTCTTACCGGTAAATTTTGACTGCCATGGCTTGATCTTTGACTATCTACTTGGAGGTCACGACAATGGTCGGCAAAGTTCTGCCCTGCTTATACCATCCCCCGTGTACATGTATATGGGCGTTTCTAAAACCCAAACCCAAAGCCCGAAAACCTAAGGAATTTTCGTGGGAGTCTTTCCAATATGAGAGTTATGGTATTTTATGGTCTATGCTCAGACCCCTGAAAAGATCTAACCACAATCTGTGCCCTATACTACCATTGAGTGACTTCTAGGAACGCTTAAGCACCCTTAAGGGCGATCTACTTTCTAGAATCTCCCAAAGCACTCAGAGCAATGGGCCCCGACAATGCCACGCCTTAGCTGCCACACGGTTTCGGGTTTAGGGTTTAGAGTTTAGGGCTTAGGTTTAGGATTCAGGGTGTAGGGTTTAGAGATGAGGGATTGGGCTTAGGGCTGATTATGAATACGGAAGGGAATGGAGGAACTATGGGGGTTGTAGCTATAGGATCCGTTGCTCCATTCCCCACTCAAAGCCAGTAAGTTTTGGAGTGGGTTACCAAAAGCGCTCCTCCTGCTAGGAGAGCCATCCCCGCAGAAGTTGCATATGAGTTTGGGGGCGCCTGAGCGGTATACAGCCCTATGTATCCCTATAACCCTGATGTAATCCATACAGAGCCCGTTAAAAGAGCTTGCATGTTAGTTTTGGGGATGATATAACCCTATATAGCCCCATATAACCTTTTATAACCTCATATTACCTTTCCTAAGCTTACATTACCTTAAATATAACCCATATTACCCTGGAAGGACTCATTGAACCCTTGACCCTAAACCATACACCCTCAGCCTAAACCCTAAATCCTAAACCCTAAATCCCAATCGGGGGACTCAGGTGGGCCACGTCGAGAAGCAGCAGAACCTGGCCAGCATCCTCCAGTTTCAGAGGACGGCAAAGCGCCTGAGCCTCAGATTTGCCAGGGCTCAGATTCCAAAGCCCGTAAACCCTAGACCCCTAACCCTAAATCCAAAGCCCTCTAAAACCTAAAGCCTAAATCCTAAGCCTTTAGAACCCAAAACCGAAATCCTAAAGCCTTAAATCCTAAACCTAAATCCCAAACCCTTAACCCTAAACCTAAATCCTAGACGCTTATGGCTTCTGGCTTGTTGCGGGGAATGGGTTATAGGGACTCCTGGGATGTAAGAAGATCCGAGATACCCCAACAAACCGACCAAGCTGGTGGAATGGACTTCGGATAGATAATGCGAGTATCCATGGAGTCGTTCGTTGCCCGATGTTGCCCGCATGCTACCGTGACCGTTAGCCCTTTTGCAGCTCCCGAGGCCTGGATGAGCTTGCTATGGGAACAGGCCCACCTCCGCCTGCGAACATCCAGCAGCAGCACGACGAGCAAGTGCAGTGCCCTGGTTCCCATGGATTAGGGTTTAGGGTTTAGGGTTTAGGGTTCATTTTTTTCTACTTGCTGTCACTAGGGGGTATATAGGGATGATGGACAATTAAATGGAAACTACTATATTACAATAAGATATATGTCTTATAATAAGGCATAGAATTCAGGGTTTAGAGTTTAGGGATTAGGGTTCAGGGTGTAGGTCTCAGGGTTTTGGATTTAGGGTTTAGGATTTCTACATTCATTTTAATGGCAAAGAAATGGAAATGACCATAACTGAGAGTCACATGAAAAAGAACATGGAAACGATTACAGTCAAGAATCATATGGAAGAGACGATGGAAGTCAAATGGAAGCTATGGATATATAGGCATGATATAGAGATGTACACCCGGATTCAGTATGAAGTAGAATGCGGTCCCTATGGTGGGGCTCCTATCACAATAAGGGTCCCTATATGAATTCCTCCACTTTGGGAACCATATTTTAGGCCAAGTTCCATTTGTTGGAATTGAGTATGCATTGAGCACATGCTTATGAAAGCCCTTGTCCGCGTATGTGCCCGCCCAAGAGCTATAGTCAGTCCTTAGTACGAGGGCTCCCAAAACGATCCATGATGTTGAGAAAGCTTACAGGGGTTCCATGGTTTGTAAGTAAATAGAGTTCTACAGGGATGTGCAGGGATCATACTCTGGTCATCCAATGCGGGGGCAATCGTTGATTGTTTATATGTACTGTAGAGCTTCTCAGTAATTATAAACGCTATCGCGTGCCCGCCTCGGCTGGTGGGGCGCGGAGCACACGAATAGGTCATGGCATGTAGTTGACACGTGGGGTTTAGACGGAGGCAAAGCCTCACTTCAGACTGTTTGTTGCATGCATGTTGCAGCATTCATGGAGGGGGTTGGCTGGGCTCAGTAAATCAGCCTTAAGTGAAGGAGTTCGCAAGCTTCAAGCTGCATAGGTACCCCGAAAGGGGGAGGGGGATTGGGGGGAGGGGGAGGGGGGGAGGGGATTGAAACCAGGTTTGGACGAAAAATTCTTACTGCCGCAAACTGCGACAGCTTCAGAAGCTAGAATTTCACGCGGGATGGTCAGGCTGGACTAGGCCACCCGCCATGGGAGGGGGTGGGGGAGGAGGGGCTTGTGTAAGGACGGCATCTGGGTACCCGAAGTGGTCCTCAAGATCACATTGGCTGGTATTTATTCGGACCGCTACGTTACATACACAATTCCGACATTTTCCATCTTCTTTGCCATTTGATTCTCCATCATCATATCATCATGCTAATATCCCAAACATGTAATTTTTTTCCTTCCATTTTCCACCGTAAAACCTAAACTTTAAACCCAAAACCCTAAACCCTCATGCCGAACTAAAGCATACAGCTGCAGTCAAGGCTGCGGGAGAAGGTCGAGGAGATCGTCAGGCCCAGCTGCGTTGAGTGCCTTAAACCCTATATCCTACATCCTAAACCCTAAACCGTAAATCCTAAGCCCTAAACCCTAAACCTGAAATCCTAAATCTTAAACCCTACGTAAACCCTAAACCCAAGAGTTGCGGACGAACGTCTGTGAGTATTATATGGCTTACTTGGAGGATCAGGGGGCTCAGTAAGCAGGGTAATAATCGGAATAGCTAGCGTTACTGTATAGGTTCTAGGGGTTACGAACCTACTTACTACATTAGTCCCCGTGACCTTCCAAATAGGGTTTAGGGTATAGGGTCTCAAGTTTAGAGTTTAGGGTCTATGGTTTTAGGATTCCTGGGGGCCCTAATCCTAAATAATACATAGTACTTTCCATCTTTTTTTCCATTATTATTTCTACTACTGTTCCCATTATTACTACTAGTACTATTGTTGCTACTATTATTTCCAAGTTTCAGGTATGTTGCTCTCTGCACAGAGGCCTCAAATAGCCGTTGCGTACCTCCTTGTTTCCCCAGCTGGAAACTTCCCACTTGAAAGGGTTTTAAGAAAAGCTGACAGGGCATGAGGCCCCAAGGATAGTCGGAGAAATACGAGCAGATTTTCTATTCTTCCGGCACTACTGAAAGCAGCTGGACTTCAGATCGTTTCTGAGCATGGTGGACTCCGTTCCCTGCTTGAAATTCCTAACTCACTGTCACCAGGATCCTGCTGTTCTGGGGGTTTAAGGGGTGCCTTATTGGGGGTCCGCATTTTCAGGATTACAATATTTTGTGGTCTATATTGGGGTTGACGAACCCTAAACCCCTAAAACGCCATGTAGGATATCCTACAATCCTGAACCCTAAACCTGGCAGGGTACTTGGCGAAGCTTATCCTCAGCTCGAAAATCTCTGGACTGCCTTCCACACCTGGATGGAAGTCCCAAGCTGAGGCACCCCGGTTTTAGGGTTTAGGGTTATTCAGGGCTTATGTTTCTGACTCCCGTGGATACTATGACATTATGACCAGCGCAAGCATGTTTCATGCCTACTTACCCATACCGGCAATCATCTTCCATACCTACTTACCATTATGGCTATGACATGATTTTTGCTAGTGCTGAAAGCCAAAACCCAAAACCCTAAACCCTAAAAACCCTAAAGCCCTGAAACCCTAAACCATGAAACCCTAAACCCTAAAACCCTAAACCCTAAACCCTAAACGTTGCATGTATCACCTTCTTGCAAACTATGCCTGTGGCCCCTCCTCCAGCTGCTGTGGCTGCTGCCGCTTAGGGTTTAGGGCTTCGTCTGCTCCTTGTCTGGGTTTAGGGTTTAGGGTTTTAGGGTTTTAGGGTTTTAGGGTTTAAGGTCTCGGGTTTAGGGCTTAGGGGCTTCGTCTGCTCCTTGTTCATTAGTGCTTGGGTACTGCCCCCACTCGTTAACAGTCGGATAAAAGTTATAATATAAGTATGTATAGCCTTTACAATGACCCCTTATGTAGAGTGTTAATGGGTGGGAGCAGGACCCACATTATGGCACTTGTATCCCGATCCATGATGATCAAGAATTTGCCTTGTCGGGAGGTCGTCAAGTCAAATGACAGGGTTTCCATTTCATTTTGATTTGTCACTGAAGCTGGCAGTTTTGTCTCGGCAGGTAACAGTGATATCCATATCGAAGTAACACGAAATTTCCGGCTTTCGGTCGCTCCTGTGGTCCCGAAAAAAGGCGCCGGCTGATTTCCGAAAGAGTGACTGACAGTGTTATTCTAAACCCTAAGCCCTAAAAGTAGGACTCTCCCAAGCCCTGAGTTAGGACTCTCCAAGAACGCGTATCAAAAGCATGCTTGCTTTGCGCAACGGCCTGTTATTCCAAGCCCAACCACTACGCCAATTGCGGAGAGACCCAAACATAGGTGCTGCACTTCTTCAATATACTTGAGGGTTTAGGGTTTAGGATTTGGGGTTTAGGGTTTAGGGCTTAGGATTTAGGGTTTAGGGTTTAGGATTTAGGGTTTAGGGTAGGGTTTAGAGTTTAGGATTTAGAGTTTAGGGTTTAGGGTGAACTCCTGTAAGCTATAGTAAGCAGCATCAACAGCCCCATGCCCCTTGTAAACCTACCGACAATTTTGCTGTTGCAGCGAGAACTACTACAGGACGTGTAGCCGCTGTCTTGCTGGCAATGGGAGTAACCCTAGCCCCTCAACCCTAAGCCCAAAACCCTGAACCCAAAGCCTTAAACCATAAGCCCTGAACCCTGAGGATTTACTTATATTTCGGGAACATTGCCCCAATCATAGGGGTTATTTAGGGATTAGATTCTAGGGACTATATAAGGTTATGTAGGGTATATAGGGTTGTACAGGGATTAAAGGCTTAGGGTTTAGGCACCCAATAATGGAGAATCAAATGGAAGAGAATATGCAAAATCAAGTCGAAACTGGCGGTAGATCGCAGTGTATGAGGATGATTACCAACATGTTGGTCCTAGATTCCTTGTAGTACAGTTATATTATAGGGTAGCTCAAATATAGCTCAAAGGATATAGGTCATCATTCCCCTAAACCCTAGCTTACCTATAGCGACGGCCGTTAGCATAAGCACATTGACTGCCTCTTTCGGGTTGCTGTTAAGGAATGTAGTTTAAGTTACCATAATATGGGTATGTAGTAGATAATAGGGTTTCCTCACGATAGTCCCTGAACCCTAAACCCTAATGTAAGTTCCTTAACAGCAACCCAGTCGTTTGGAGATGGCAGCTTCTCTTTTTGATCATACGGTAGGTGGTCAAAATTAGAGTCCCCTTCTGGACCACAAGTATAACACGGCCGCTGATGCTAAGGGTGATACCCTGAACCCCAATACCCCAATACCTTCAACACTAAGCCCCAGTACCCCTCATGAGGGCTTGCCCACTTTGCCTTGCACTGTCCCCCCTTCCTCCTATGCGCATCCTTCAGCCTTTCATGCGAGGCAAGCTCGTCAAAGAGACCATGGCGACTACTTGGAGGTCAAGATGTCTGGTTGTACAGATTCCAGATGGTTGCTCAAAGCCGCCAGTGTACAAACGTGCCTCGAGATTCTTCACGTCTTCAGTCAATTCGCACATCATAAAGTTGTAAGCGAGCAGTGTATCTCCATCATAAACCTACTTCATAAGCCCCCCCGAGCTCTCCAAGTATCAGTCCCCTAAACTCTGAACCCTAAACAGCCCGAATGCAGTCGTTAGTGACATGAAGGAAAGGAAATGCAAGTTCGTAGGTCTCACCTGTGGGCAGTCTCACCTTGCAGGAGCTACTTGGGGCAGAATGCGCAATATGCGTCAACCTCGTCGTGGAAAAAGTGCTAGTGTTTAGGGCTTAGGGTTTAGGGTTTAGGGTTTAGGGTTAGGGTCTAAGGGTTAGGGTTCAGGGTATAGGGGCGCCCTGTTTTTCATGGGCTGGAGCAAGCTGTACCTGATCTTTACATGATTGCAACAGCAGAACATCAGTAGTATAAAGCACCCTAAACCCGAAGCGCGCAAAACAAAACAGCCTGATTCAGCTAGTGTGCTGCTTAAACTTCATGGAGGGGCAAGGGGACGTATTGAGTATAC